GATAAATCCTTAACAAGCAAAAATGTGTTTGTTAGCCATTTGTTCTGTTTAAAAAAAAATACACTGGAGAGATCAGCGTAACTGGCAAGAGAAGCTAGTGTTCAAAATAGCAAGAACACTAACTACCTACTTCTTGTAGGATCTAGAGAAGGGTGAGGGGCATTAGCTTTTAGCTATTACATTCTCCCCATCCATCTATTTAAAATACACACTAACACACACACTCCAAAAAACTTTCCCTGAGAATAAAAATACAGTATTTTGTGTTTTGTTTTGGGGTTGTTCTTTGTTGTTGGTTTGTCTGTTTGTTTTGTTTTGTTTTGTTTTGTTTTGTCACAAAACCCAAGGACAAATTTTAGAATTTTTTTTCATGTTAATACAAATCCTAGGCAATTGATGATTCAGCACTCCTCTTTTGGATCTTCAGTAGAGGAATTTCTTTTTAATCTATATTTGTAATTTAATTGGTGTAGGGAACTCTAGGCGTGGAAACTGTAGAGGGAGAGACCTAGGACAGCAGCTCACCTTCAGTTTAGATATAGGCTTACAGCATTGTCTGGAGCACCGAGAAATGAAGTGACTTCCCTACAGTCACAGAGCCAGCGTGTGTCCGAGCCAAGACTTGAATCTTCTAGCTCCATGGCCAGCCAGCCCCTATCTGCTAAAGCAAAGTTATCTCGAAGTGTTTAGGGATGCTATTTTTGTGATGTAGGTGCTTTCAACGTGCTATCCCTGTATGTTGGTGCACAAAGGGAAATAGGCTTTTTTCCCCCTAAATGATTGATTCACAAAGAATAAGTGCTTGAGGGTGGCACAAGCAGTTGCTTTTTACCATTAATTACCTCACTTGTTTTAACAAGACACTTTTCAGACTACCTAATGTGATTAAAGCATATTATGATATTAATTGCTTGCCAGATTCCATCTTAATGGGATATAAAGATTTTGGTCCAAATTTAGACCTACCTTGACACCTGCTCCATGCAGAAGTTTATGCTGCTCAGACTATATTTAGGAATATACATGCAGTTATTAGAGTAGGGAACCACAACAGGGCACTGATTTACTCTCAGTTTCCCTGGGAGTAAAATGCCAGGCTTTGGAGTGCAACTAACAGTTTTAGTTAGGTACGGCCACCCTTCATTTTCAACTTCCTAAACCAAGGGTTTGGCTACCTATGACAAGATGCTTCTGAATAGTGCCTATAATAGCTGTTATTAGTGCTTGACAATGATAACCATCATAAATGCATCTTTCTCCTCTTTTTCGGTCTCTTTGTCTTTGAATGTCCCTACTCATGTTTTTTTTTCTCCTTTTTTTTTCTCCTTCCTTGTTTTGCTTTGGACTTGCCAATGACCAATAATGACATTCACAGGCATTAAAAAAGAGTCCTAGATTTGGAATCATAAGTCCTGGGTTTAAATCCCAGCTCTGCCACTTGCTACCTATGTGACCTTAGGCAAGTCACTTAACTTTCCAGGGCCTCAAGTTTCTAAAGTGAAAGCATTGGACCAAATGAACCCCTCTAGGGCCAAATAATTAATTCTGTGACCCCACTTGGGGTGCTCATTCAGACATCAGAGATACAAAAAAACTACTTAGTCAGTAGGGATCATTTCAGGGGAAGTAACTAAAATTACTTTTTTTTTTTTTTTAACAAAGAGAAAGGAAACATCTAATGTAACTTTTTTAGTGAAGCTTTGTGTGATTCCTGGTACTTGAGTCTCTAACCAAAAACCTCTCCTGAAAGAACTCCTATTTCTAAGAGCAGGAGTTCTTAATATTTTTTTGTGTTATGAACCCCTCTGACAGTCTGGTAAAACCTATGACATTCTAAGAATTTATTTAAATGTATAAAAACGCATAGGATTACAAAGAAACCAATTATATTGAAATACAGCTATTTATCTATCCATCTATCTATCTTTAAAAGCCAAGTTCACAGGCCCCAGGTTAAGAACCTATATGGTTCAATTCAATTCCATTTAAAACACAGTTAATAATGCTTACTGTTTGCAGAACATGATATTAGGCTGAAGAAAACATAAAGTTTAGGTAAGACATAGTCCCAACCCTTGTGGAACTTCTATTTCATAGAGGAAATTAGCACATACATATAATTATAAAATAAAATTATACATCGTGAATGGAAAACAGGGCATTGTGATGTCCATTGGGGAAAAGTTGTTACTAGGTTTGGGAGGTGGTTGGTAATGGTGAAAACACCAAGGAAGGCTTCGTGTAGAAAGCAGAGACTTTATAAGCATAGAAAATCGTATGAACAATGGCAGAAAGTCTGAGACATGTTCATGGAGGAGAGTAGTCCATTTTGGCCAGAGTTTAGAGTACATATTAAGGAATAGAATGAGATTTCTGGAAAGACAGGAAAATAAATTTTGGACTTGAAGCACTATGATGTGATCAAAGGATATGAATAGGAGTTTTCCAGAAAAGAAATCAAAGTTATCAATAGTCACATGAAAAATGCTCTAAGTCACTATTGATTAGAGAAATGCAATTAAAACAGCTCTGAGATACCACCTCATACCTATCAGACTAGCTAATAGGACTGAAAAGGTGAAAGACAGATGCTAGAGGGGGTATGGAAAAATAGGGGCACAAATGCACTGTTGGTGGAGTTGTAAACTGGTGCAACCATTCTGGAGAACAATTTGGAACTATGCCCAAAGGGCTTTAAAATTGTATATACACTTTGACCCAGAAATACCACTAATAGGTCTATATTCCAAAGAGATCAATAAAAAGGGGAAAGGACCTATATGTTATAAAAAATACTTATAGCAACTCCTTTTGTGGTGGCAAAGAATTGGAAATTGAGGTGATGCCCATCAATGGAGGAATTACTCAACAAGTAGTGGTATATGATTGTAGTGGTATACTAATGTGCTATAAGTAATGATGAGTGGGGGGCAGCTAGGTGGCACAGTGGATAGCGCACCAGCCCTGAAGTCAGAAGGACCTGAGTTCAAATCTGGCCTCAGACCAAACACTTGACACTTACTAGCTGTGTGGACCTGGGCAAGTCACTTAACCTCAATTGCCTAAAAAGAAAGAAAGAAAGAAAGAAATGGTGAGTGGGATGGCTTCACAAAAACCTGGGAAGACATATATGAACTGATACAGAGTGAAGTGAGCAGAACCAGGAAAACATTGTACACAATAACACCAATACTGTTACAATGATCAATTGTGAAAGACTTAGCTACTCTGATTAAGACCATGATCCAAAACAATTCCAAAGGACCCATGATGAAAACTGCTATCCATCTCCAGAAAGAGAACTGATGAATTCTCAATGTAGATTGAAGCATACTGTTTTCACCTTGTTTTTCTTGCTTGTATGTGTGTGTGTTTTCTTTTGTGACTTGGCTAATATGGAAATATGTTTTGCATGACTTCACGTAATCGATATCATTGTTTGCCTTCTCAAGGTGTGAGGGAAGGGTAAGAAGGAGGGACAGTTAACAAAGCAAATAAAAGTATATTTTAAAAAAGAACAGAAAAAGAAACACTATAATGTCCCTGAACTGAGAATGAAGTTGGTGCTGAGACTTTCTATCAAGATTAAAACAGGGGCAGCTAAGTGGCTCAGTATAGAGAACACCAGTCCTGGAGTCAGGAGGACCTGGGTTCAAATCTGATCTCGGACGCATAACATTCACTAGCTGTGTGACTCTGGGCAAGTCACTTAGCCCCAATTGCCTCACCAAAAAGAAAAAAAAGATTAAAGCAGCTGTTACTAGAATTCTCATATTACTTATTACTCCTTTCAGTGGTATTATTAGTCATCCAATTGAGACAAAGAATAGAATTTAGATTTATTCTTTTTTCAAGTAACAAATATTTGTTTTATTAATCTATCCCTCCCACTATTCCACTACTTGAGTAAATTTAAAAAATGAGATAAAAAACAAGTCTGTTAGTATATATATATAGCTGCATAGTCCAGCAAAATGTCCAAAAATGTGTATCTGCATTTTAAGTTCATCACCTTTCTGTCAGATGGTGAGTGGTGTGTTCTATTTTCATTTCTCTGGATGCATAGTCTATCTTAACCAGATTTCTAAAATCTTTTAAAGTAGTTTTTCTCATTGTATAAATTGTTCTCCTAATTATGTTCATTTTGCTCTGCCTCAATTCATAAAGATCTTCTGAGTTTCCTTTGAAATTGTCTATCTCATCATTTCTTACGGCATATATTCTACCATGTGCATAAATTACCAAAAAAAATTGCTATATATTTTGTGTTCATGTAAATCCCTTTATTTTTTTTTCTTTGCTGTATAAGCCTAGTAGTGGTATAGTTACACCAAAGGGAATGCATTGTTTGGTAACTTTCTGGGTGAAGTTCCTAATTGCTTTCCAGAATGGACCAATTCACTGTTCTACCAACAATTCACTACTTTACATGTTTTCCTAAAGCCCCCCCAACATTTAACATTTTTTCTTTTGTTTATTTTTGCTAGTCTGATAGGCATAAGGTAGAACCTCAAAGTGCTTTAATTTGCATATCTCTAATTATTAGTGATTTGGAGCATTTTTTCATCTGACGGTTGATAATTTGGATTTCTTCCTTTGAAAACTGCCTGTTCTTATCCTATGACCACTTATCTACTGCGGAAATTGCTCTTGTCTTATAAATTTGAATGAGTTCCCTATAGACCTTAGAAATGAGTCCTCAATGAATTCCCAGGTCACTCATTATTATCAATGGTACCATTAGTTATTCAAAAGAAACACATGATAAAATTTAAATTTATTTAAAAAAAGAACTTTTGGAAATCGCTAGGCATATTTGGTGTATTATTCCAACATTGAATTTTACCTTTTAGTTTTTAAAGACATCAAGATTTCCTCTTCCAGGTAACTAAATATTATATTATTCTTGAGTTGGATCTTTATTTAACATTCTGATAGAAATTTTCAACAATGTATGTCTGCTGAGAAAAGTCAAGACTTACCTAGTTGTCCTGTTATAGATGTGAAATCGAGGCAACACTTGAGAGACTAAAGAAACTGGAGCGAGATCTCAGCTTTAAAGAGCAGGAGCTGAAGGAAAGAGAGAGACGTCTGAAAATGTGGGAGCAAAAGCTGACCGAACAGTCCAACACTCCTGTAAGTATGTGCTATGACATGAAGCCTCCCCTTTCCCACTTCCCCTTTAAAGAGCATTTAGAAAGATTGGCTAAGCATGGCAGCATGGCGTTTACTCTCATTCTTTCTCCCCATGGCTTTGCAGGCAGTAGTTTGATAGTGATCCACCATTTACATCTGAATGATATTCATATCAAATTTCAATTAAAAAATGCAGAGAAACCCATCAGCAAATTGTATTCTATTTTTGGCTTTGTCATTGAGAGCTGTTCTTCTGTCAATGTCTTTATAGACAGGAAGTTTTTGTTGTTGTAGTTGTTATTTTACCATCACCTGCTGAATCTCAACTCTAAGAAAATATTCTTAAATGCTGATTAACTCATAATATATCTCATTGATAAATAATTAGTTCACTACCCACAGAGCTGGTTAGCAGCCTGATAGTTGAACTCAGATTTAACCATTTTTTCTACTTTCTCTATATTTACCCACATATCTTAAATATGGACTAATAAAATTTCTATGGCAACCCAACTTGAATGTTCATAAGCAATTCGTTAGTATTAGTATGATCACAGAGGGCAGATACTTAAAAACATGGACAGATATAAAAAATAGATTCGCCTAAAGTATCTTGGTTTTTACAAATCTGGTTGTCCTCAGAGAAGCAATGTGGGAAATCTTTTTTTTTTTAAATAAGACTGCCATGGTTTAGTATGACTATCAAACATACCAATATCACTAGTTTTTGTTTTCTTGTAATGAGCAGAATGTTTTTTCCTTTTTAAATCCTGAAAATTGATATGAAAATAAAACGTCATTCAATTCCCTTCAATTTGCAGTTGATCTCAGCTGCTACATTAATCAAATCCCATACCTCCTGTCTTCCCCTCTACCCTTTTTTAAAAAGAAAATCATCCTATCCATTAGGAAGCCTAAGCTCTCTAGCGTTCTGATCATCATAGGAGTCTCCATGTTAAAGTGTGTTTCTTATAATTCTCCTTAGTGAATATAGGTACGTGTACGGTTTTTCTTCAACGTCACAAGGAGATAAGGATCACATAGGACTTATACTTGACTCTCAGAATTTTGAGAAAGAAACTTTTCAGAATGAGTAACACATCCTGTTTTTACTAGTTATAAAGAAGGAAAAGCTGATAAAAATTATTATTTTACTACAAGAAGTTAGTATTTCAAAAATGACTAGTAGTAAGGATGCAAGTAAGAATTTTGATATAATAAGAAGAATAACAAATAACATTTTTATAGCACTGACTATGTGCCAGGCACTGTGCTGAGAGCTTGGTTATCTCATTTGGTCTTCACAACAACACTGGGTGGGGGGATGGGTAGGTGCCATTATTATCCCTATTTTACAGATGAAGAAATGGAGGGAAATAGAGCTTAAGTGATTTGCCTGGAGTCATACAGGCCAGATTTGAAATCACATCTTCCTGCCTCCAGGCTCAGAGCTCTATGTATGCTCCACCTAGCTGTTCCTATCTCTGACTACCATGAGGACTACCAGAGTAACATTTAATTGCATTGCATGCATTTATTATTGAATATTTTTTACATGGGGCATTTAAACAATAGTGGAGGTGGTATTATTTCAGGACCCATTGGTACTAAGCTCACAGCAATTACAAAGTCAGCCCTAATGGCCTAAAGATGATGCTTACACATGAGAGTCATTTGTCCATGATCATTCAAATGATCAGGCTAATTGCTCTATTTATAAGATGGCAAGAACAACTCTTACCACTGAGTGTATTTTTTGTTTTTGTTCTGTTTTGTTTTGTTGTTACACACTGTATGACTTCATCAGTACTGGATACTCCCAGTACTTAACTCCCTCTCCCAACCCAGATCATCACTTGCTCTGCAACTTAAAGTTTTAGGGAATTGCCCTGGGCCCTAAGAGGCTTAATGACTTGCCCAGGATCCCAAAGCCAGTATGTGTTAGAAGATGAACTTGAACCCAGGTCCTCCTAACTCTCTGAGGCCAGCTCTCTGCCTTGAGATAATGGTTCTAAATACATGGAGACTTTAAACTATAAAGCACTGCATGGCATGATTAATTTTATCCTGTTTTATATGAAGGTACTTTGAATTGCTTGTAAGAATAGTTTGGGGAACTTTTCAAGATGTCTTTTTTGCTTAGTTTCTTGGCATGAGTTATGGTAAGAATTCGTGGATTATGTCTTAACACAATAACACTATTACTGACTAGTCATGTTCTAGATAAGAAAACAGATACTTTTATGCTCATAGAGATTGTTCTTTTACAATAACTTGCTTCCACTTCAGGAAACTTTCAATAATGTAACTGGGCTAATGAATATCACCTAGCATTGAGCAGAAAGAGATGCAGTCTTAATGAGGACATTCTTTTTATCCCTTCTCTCCACTCCACCCCTCCCTTTTAAAGTCAAGAGCCTAAGTTTTCTGTACTGTACTTTTGGCTCACCTGTTCCACAGAAAGCTGACCTGCCAGAAGGAAAGGATGTTTTTACACAAATAGTTTGTATTCAACAAATATTTCATTTGTGCATAGCATGGCTCTGATTCCCAATTGACATTAAATATGATTTATATATTAGAAGCTTCAAAGAAATAGTAAATACAGCTTTAGAGAAGTGGCTGTGAGAATGGTTTAGAATGATGTTCAGATTAATTGGATTCTCTTCAAAGTGGCAAGCTGCACTTAGGCAATCCTTGTATACTTCAAAAGATCTGTGTTTCCATTGACTTGTGTCATCCTTCCACCAGCACAGATCAAGGACCTTCTACATGTTAGATGATGTTTCATGAATTGTTGTGGCCAAAGAATTGTTGGCCAGTTTGATAAACAACTTTTTGGTGAAGAGTTTCTGCTCACTTAGCCTGGCCCTGCATTCAGTTTGTTCGTAGTCCCACAGGCAAAGCATGTCTAGCTCGGTGGAGTTTGTGTTCTACTGACATATATGACCTTTGATAATCTAGGAGTTACTTCCATGACACAATGAGGCAATAAAGGGGAGGTATCTTTGCATAATTGAATGAAAATAGTAGTATTCTCTATAAGGCATTTGCCTTGTATTTTGAAGGACGAACAGTTGGTTATCCCACACCCAGTTCTACAATTATTAGAGAGAATTAATTTTCAACTCACTGTTTGTTATGTTGAGACTAGGTCATAGGTCAAAACATGTCGTGAAAAAGGAATTCCTATTTTTATTCTTGAATAACAGGAAAATGTATTTTCTGTGAGGAACTGGTATGTACTTAGAAATAAAAAAGGTAACTCAGAATGATTTATGTAAACTCTTTGTAGTCTGTTATGGCATGAAATAAGAAAGGCTCCTAAAAAATGAATAAAAGTGAACATAGTTCTTAAGCACTTAACAGCTGAAGACTGCTTTGGGCAGCTGGGAAATTTGATTGAAAATACCCAGTTTCCAAAGCAAAAGGGATTTTTCCACATCACTGCAGTCTTTCAGCTGAATTCTTTCCAGTGACTTTTTTGTATTGACATCTCTAGAAGTATTTCCCTAATAGAATAAGATGTCATTCAAAAACTCAGTCATAACTTTAATGAAAGGATTGGAAAATCAGTTTTTAGACTCACAATATAAAGGTCATTCCAGGAGGACAGTAATTGCACACTGTGCTACCATAACATTACCTAAATACTAGAACAGTCCTAAATTACTGTAAATTCTAATTTGGTTGACTTCCTTGAAAGAGAGTCAGTAACTTTGCCAGATCTCAGCTACTTTACCCTTTATTGTCTTATGATTAACAACATGGAGGCAAGTTGGTTGCTGAAAGTTACACTTCACAGACAAAACATTGTATGCGACTACCATGAACAGAAAACATCTCAAAGCAAAACTCTATTAAAAGATAGTCCAAAAAAAAAAAAGATAGTCCAAAACAGAGGAAAATGATAGGGTCAGAGGAAGGGGATAAGAAAAGTCTAAGTTGCTGCTCTTTCCTTCTCAGCTTTCACACGTGGTTATTCATTTACTTGTTTATGATTTTTGAATGACACCAACGAAATATGCATAATATACACAGAATCACAGAATTTAAGATGTGGAAGGGACTTCAGTGGCCATCTAGTTCATCCTACACAAGAAAGGAATCTCCATTATAATAAACCCTGACATAGATCAAGTAAATTATTTAAATTAGAAATGCCCCCAAATGCATAAGAAATGGAAAGAGTTAAGGGGTAGATCTTTTTTTCCAGTTCAGGCCATACCCAAACGTGACAACCAGAAAAAAGAAAGAAGTTGGCTGCCCTTGGTTCCCCAAAATTCTCTTGCCTGCTGAACTCTTTTGCACATTTTCATAAACTTCTCTGCTCTGGGTCAGACTTTCTTGATTTCTTTGGTTTTGTTGGGATTTTCCATCTATTTCCTTTCACTTTTAAATGTGACAATTAAAATGAAAAAATTCTGTGGTAAAGTGAAGTGAACAGAAACTAAGAGACTGCCACCAAACCATTTTGTGTACACAAAATGGAGGCTTGGAAAGTTATAACGTTTTCATTTGAAATCATGTTCCTTTTATTCATAGACTTTCCCCTGGAATTTGTCCTGTCTTTTGTAAAGAACAAAACAAAAATGAAACAAACTGAATTTAAATGAATTCCTTCATTAGTCCCTGAGTTCATTTCACTAACCATTTTACCTTCTGTTTAATTCTAGCTTATCTTGTGGTGCCTATTTCCTCAATCAAGTTTGGTTTTTAACTCTCCTTTTTTTTTACTTCTGTCCTTTCTTCCCTTTTGATAGCTTCTCTTGCCTCTTGCTGCAAGAATGTCTGAGGAGTCTTACTTTGAATCTAAGACAGAGGAATCAAACAGTGCAGAGATGTCATGTCAAATCACAGCAACAAGTAACGGGGAGGGAGATGGCATGAAGCAAAGTCTACAGGCCATGATGGTGATGGGCTTTGGGGATGTCTTCTCAATGAACAAAGCAGGAGCTGTCCTGCATTCGGGGATGCAGATAAACATGCAAGCCAAGCAGAATTCTTCCAAAACCACATCTAAGAGAAGGGGAAAGAAAATCAACATGGCCCTGGGGTTCAGTGAATTTGACATGTCAGAAGGTGACAATGATGATGACGGTGATGAGGATGACATGGATGACAGTAGTGAATGAAATCAGAAATCCAGAATTCTCTTAAGCCTGAAAGCAAAGCAATAAAATTTTAAATGTTCAGAAAAAAAAGAAACTTGTAATTTTGATCTATATGAAAAACAGTCAAGGAAGAAATCAAACACTGTATTTTTTTTTAGGCCAGTCACATTTACTATGGTAGCACTCTCTGTTTAGACTACTACTGATTTATTTTTGCTTAATGAAATTTTGAAGGAAAATAAGAAAAATGTTAAGAAAAAATAGACATAGCTCACAATTCAACTGTAATGTGGTGCCTGATTACAGAAATTTCTGTGGCTTAAAAAAAAGCACAATTGACTTTCATGCTGAGGATAGTTTAACATATTTGAAACATGAGTGTTTTGTACTGTGTATTTGGCTTAATTTTATTTCCCTCTTACTACGGATTAAGTTATTTGTATTTTGAGCAAATGTTCCTGGCCTCATATTTCAACCTAAATACTTATTTCTGCTGTTAACCTATTTTTAAATCAGAGCAGTGAACTTCTTACATATTTATTTTGTATGAAAATACTTGGTGATGTCAGAAATGCTTGGTTGTGACTGAAATTTTTGACAAAAGAACCTGAGATCAAAGAAAGTTGTTTCAAATACCTGTCTTCAGTAATACCCAAACAAAGAACATTTTCAACACCAAATTACTATTTGTATAGGATCTCATCCCAAAGTGTCCTAGTGCTTCTTGAAACACAGTTGCTTAAAGTAAAACCTGAGCAATTTTATCAATAACATGGTAGTGAAAGAAAGACTACTCATCTTTGAAACTGACAGCAAATGCTAGAGTCCTTTATATTTATCTCTACAAATGTTGGAGACTTATCAATGCACTTTCCTCTAAAAGTTAACTTGTATTATATGTAAATGAACTCATACTTTATACATTAGAAAAAGGCTCCTATGGATGGGGGCACCACCCTCCAGCCTTGCGGGGCCCCAAACATGGCCCTACTTTCAATGATCAAGAGAGATGGAGTGGTAATCCTGGATCCTGAATCTATTTTTCAAAAGCAATTAACCATTGTGAAATAAAATTCAAAGGAAAAATGACCATAATTATTTAGGGGGAATAGCACCAGATTCTGTAGCTGAATAGCTCTCCATCATGACCTAATCACTAATTTAGTTCTCAGACACTTCCCCAGAATCATCTGTATGCTGCTATGCCTCTTTCTGCAGTGACTCAGAGATGCCAGTGTTTGTACAGAGAAACTGATAGTTATTTCTCTGGTGACTGCTTGAGAAACCTGGCAAAGCTAAGATGTTTTCTAAATGAAGTAGTGTCAGCAATCTGTTTCCAGACTAAATTATGAAGCAATTTATTTTTTTCTTGAAACTAAATCCTATAAAATGCCTTTGGTGGCATTTTTTCCCTTAAGAAAACCTAACGAAAGACCATCACAAAAGTTATTAGTTATACATATATCCATTGCCATTTCCACTCGTATTAGCTAACCCAAGCCTGAAATTAAGCCTCCTAGGATTTGAAAACTTCTATGCTCCTATACCCTTTTGAAAGTTTTAAAAATACCCCCAAAGAGATCTGTATAAGTTGTGCCAGCTTCCTCATTTGGAGTAAATATTAAGATTTTTTGTAAGTGATATGTAAAACAATTCTTCATGCCAGTGGGGCTAAAAAATGAAATGTGAGTGACCTCAGTAAGTCTTTCCTGGGAAACCAGTTCTGAATAGTTTTTGCTTCTGTAGTCATTGGGAGCATGAAGCTAAAGGAAGATAATGTTCCAAGTGAAGAAAACTAGTGTCAGACAAGGTACACAAACAGATGGATTCTCTTGTACCCTGAGGGCTATTGCAAAGCATTCATCAAATTCTCCTGTACTGAGCTATTTACAGACAGTAAGGCACTTTTGGAAGCTGTATTAATGCCAAAGTCATTAGTATGCATGCTAAGTCAATATAAAGAAAGAATAAGTTCATGATGACCCATATTGATTGATCCTTGGGTTAGAGAATGAGTTTGTGAAATGCCATACAAAAGATAATTCTCCTCCCACTGTTCCAATATGGGTAGTACCTAGTGACTAAAGTACTTGTGCTCTCCAGGCATTGTTCTTGTGGGGCAGGAGGGGGTGGGAGGTCTGATACTTTCCAAAGTCCACAGTCTTTCAAACTTAGGCAGGTATAGTAGTAGGCAAAAGAAGAAAGATAAAGGAAAACTTTTCTTGCTAGGGTCCCTAAAAGGCAGAGACAAGAGTGTGCTTCAAATCCCTCCTCTTGCATAAGCAAAGAAAAATGTGTCTATGCATGCTACTCCTCCTGCATTTGGCATTTCATATATTAAAAAACAAAACAAAAGAAAAAACCCTTACCTTTTGACAACAAATTAGGACATATAAATTGTTGGGAAAGGGGGATTTTCCTTCTTTTAATATTAAATTGATTGGAAGATAGTTGTATTACAAGTTAGAACCCAGAGAGTCAGGGACTGCTGGCATTATGTGCTTTTATTTTGCCACTGACTTAAATGCAGCTGATTTTCTTAACTTATGTTTCTTTGTCAATTTCCTCATCAGTGTAGGGATGGTAGTTGCTGACCATGATCACACTGAGAGAGTGTACACATATGTGCTATAAGAGACCCAGTGCCATCAAAGAGGAGAATGTGTATTACTCTCTTCCTGGAGTTGTGTTATGAAGTCCTTCCTAACACTCAGGGAACACTTAGTAATTTCACTGCTTTGGGGTAATGTGGCTCCTTCATTTGTCTGGAAAGGCCCAGGCATCACTGAAAGTCAAAGGGTGTATTCAGAATTAGCAGGAAAGGGCCCCAGAGATTATTCAGTCAACCCTCTCATTTTAGAGTTGAAGAAATGGAGAACTAGGAGAGGCAAAGTGACTTACTTGCTCTAGGTCACAGGGCAAATTCAATTCAATTCAACAAACAAGTATTAAATACAGTATGTGTGTATGTATAATACATTATCATAGGTGGCGCAGTGGATAGAGCACCAGCCCTGAAATCAGGAGGACCTGAGTTCAAATCCAGCCTCAGACCAAACACTTGACACTTACTAGCTGTGTGACCCTGGGCAAGTCACTTAACCCCAATTGCCTAAAAAAAAAAATACATTATCTTACACAGTATACATTAGACTTCATCCCTGTCCTTGTAGAGTTTACAATCAATTAAAGAGATATGAAACTTATAAGAGCTGGAACTAGAATCCATTTGTAACTCCCATAGGTATTTACTAGATGTGCTGGATGATGCACATTTCTAATAAACTTCATTGGGTCAGGGCTGTTTGATAACATATATTTTTAAAATGGAATCACATTTTAGCACAACTGATGAAAGCAAATTAAGACATTGGCCATGGTTAAGTGTGAATTTTGAAAGCTTCCAGCTACCACATTATCATTTCTTGTTAGAATGATTCTTTATCCAGCATCACATTTAGCAAACCACAAGTTCTTCTTTGAATTTTTAAAAGAAACACTTATTGAATTAATGAAAAATCATAGAGGTAGGTTTCAGTGTATAGTTTATAATCTACTTTTACTCAACTTTAAAATATCTCTGCCAAAACCTAACATGCTAGTGTAGATTTTGTCTCACAACTGTAACTAACTCATAAAAATATATATGTTGTTAGCAAGGACGATTTGGGAGATGCTGAGAAATTTCAGTATTGAAAATGACAATTGAATCTCTACATTTTTATAATCATTGTTAGGACGAGACATCTGAAGACTTATTAACTGCCTTTGATATTTTGACTTAATTCATAAGGTTATTCAGGTAGACATTGACAGCCTTACATTCATATTAGGGTGTCCACAGCTATTCTTCTTCAGGAGTAATAAATCAAATTGCCAAAGTCAGAGCATGCATTTTCAAAATAATAGCTGCTACATGTACACTCAGCCTGAACTAAGAATATCCATAGCCTTTATCTTCTCAGCACCAAGAATAACAAGGCGGTAGAATTCATTTACAAGAGGAAACTGGCTGTTGAGATGGGGCTGAAGGGAAAAATCCAACTTGGTTCATTCTCAATTACCCTGACTCCTCAGTTCTCAGAGGAGAAAATTCAAGGAACTAGCTTTGTGACTTTATGGTTCTGCCTTTCCCTCTACTCATTTTTTTAACAAAAATATCTGTATTTTATATCAACACCAAGAGTGAGGGACTCATTTCAGATTGTGGGTTCAGTGATGATAAGGACCTTAGTTTTTTCAGACTTTACCAAGCAGTTTAATTAGTCACAAGTATAAGTGGCAATTAGTCACATTTTAAGAGGCAGCACATGGACACATTTGCAGTTAAGGAAGCTAGGATAAAAGCATTGCTCTGTTGTGTACTACCTAACTGTAACAAGTAGCTAAACTTCTCTAGGTTTAGTTTCATGATCTGTAAAATAAGGGAGAGGGTTGCCCTAGGTGATCTTTGAGATTACTTCAGATAAATTTATGATCCTTATAATCCTTTAGTCAGTTCAGATATTTGGAATTGGACCTCATTAGTTTCAAGGGGCTTAATAGTCAGGTCAGCTAGTCAACAAACATTTATTATGCACTTACTATGTGCCAGGCACTGTGCTAAGCGCTGGGATTCCAAGAAAGGTAAAAACATATAGGACCCAGAACAGCATCTCAAAGTAATGCTACAGACTTGGCCTTATCTTATTTCTTTTCTTTTCTTTTTTTTTTCAAATCAAAGAAGTAAAGATTTTATGATTGATAATAAGAAACCAGTTATTCCAAGTTAAATATTATTACACTAGCAATAGTTTGGCACATGTCAGAATGAGACCACACTACACAAATGCCACTAAGGTGTTACTAGCCAACTTCACCTACATCTTTTGTTCATTTTCTTTCTGTAATCAGGCACCTTTTTACAGGTTTTACAAAAGACCCCTTTTCCAGGATAGCGTTTAAACATTGTCTTAGAGACAATCTGTTCTATTCTTTGCCTTTTAATGTAGCTTGATGGGCACACATGCAGCATTTTCTACAATGTAAAATTAGCCACTACCAGGAAAATCTGGAGGACAAAACATTTCATTTTCTCCCCCAGACTTCAACTTAGTGTGTGCACTCTAATGCCTGTGTGGAGCTTTCTGGTGTGGGAATATTAACTTCAGTTTAGTTTCAAGCACCTATATTAAATATTTTATATTGTGTGCTGAATGTTATAATACCTTTTTAATGTCAGATACAGTACACTGCATTTATTGCTTTTGCACTCTTGAAAAAGTTTTGTACTAAATAATAGAAAATGATACTATTTATACTCTTTAAGTGTGGTCAGATGAGCTTTGAATTGACAGCATTTTCACAGTGGTTTTTTTTAAAATATTTTTTCTCTCTCATTCTGTTGGGATATTATTCTGAGCAAGGCCGCTGCCAGAATTTTGTATAAGAATCTGTATGGAGCATGAAATTATAGTCTTGTGTGGTGAGACTTTTCCGTCATTGTCTTACTTCCTAGTAGGAACTTAATATTCCAGTACAAAGCCAGCAATGTATTCAGTAGTCTCAATGGTGTCATACATTTCATTTTGATGTGAACTTTTTTCCTTTGCTTTCCTTTGTTCTAAAACTCTATTTTGCAATAAACATTTTGACAGTAAATTCTCTGGTTATGTGTTGCTGTGTATGCAGTGTCTGTGTTAGCTTGGATCCCCAAACACCTTCAAAAGGGATGATTGTCACATGCTTCCTACTTTTCCCCCATCCTCTATGCAATGCACATAGTCATGCAGTTTAAAAAAAATTAGTAAAAAGAGTGAACGGATACAATAATGGGGTAGAGAATCAGGTGGGTTTTTTTTTTTTGTATCTCAAAGAAAATGTGGAACAACATCTAGAGCTGTGATGTTACTGTGGGTATTACCATGTCCCTAATGATTTTCCCATTTAAGATATTTATATTGACTATATTTATATGACGATGAAATATATGAAGAAAATGATAAGCCACTATATGCTTAGAGACTGTCCTTTTTTCTGTGTCCATTTTCAAAACATTTTGACGCATGACAGCCTTTCCCCCGGTGAGACTTGGTAATGTTAGATCTTTTCATGAACTCCAGAGGGTTCTACCAGTCAGGTATCCAAACTGAAGAAAGAGCCTAGTGGCCTCCCATTTAAGGTTTTGGGGATGAGCCATCTTTAAGGCCCTCATTTCTGTAAATATCAAAAGACACATTCTATTTCATGCCTCCTAAATTCTTCACAGGAATAGCACCAAAATTACTGGCTTTGACCACTACAAATTCAGCCATAAATAAGATTCCATCCAACATATGTTCATTTCTAGATTGTGTTTGGCTCAGCATTTGGAATCTATATAGATCCCTTGCATTCCCATACTGTCTTCCCCAGGGGGAGGGGGAAGAAATTTAACTTAATCACAAGAAATATTTCTTCAGTTTTCTGTTATTTCTTGAACTGATAAAAAGTTTCTCATTTTACATTTGTTTTTGTGTTTTTGGGGGAAGGGAATAATTTGCCTTTACAGCTGGATCCAGCTGTTTGGTAAAGCAAACAAGTCTATAATGTATTTTCTTTGATCCAGCTTAGCTTTATAATCTGTTCCCCAAGTCATCTTCTCTTCCTTTTCTTTAAA